CGATAAGATATCCAAAGCAATAGATGAAGGTAAATATACTGTAGGTATTTTCCTTGATCTCTCTAAAGCCTTCGACACTGTCAATCACGAAATTCTCATAAAAAACTTCAACACTAAGGAATTAGAGGAATAGGTCTACATGGTTTATAAATTATTTACATGCAGGAAATAACTCAAATGGTCAAATATAAACAGCATAGGTCAACTGAAATGAGTGTTAGGACTGGCGTCCCACAGGGTTCAATCTTGGACCACTACTATTTCTAATATACATTAATGACATTGAAAACTGCAGTAAAATTATTTCTTTTGTCTTATCTGCCCATGATACAAATGCCTTTTATTCAAATTCGTGCTTAATAATTAAAAACTTTAGCTAGTGCTATACAAAATGAAATGAATGAGGTAGTACAATGGCTTAACGCCAATAAATTATCAATCGATGCATCCAAAACAAAATTTGTCATTTTTAAATAAAAAGTAAGTCACAGCATCAAGAAATCATAGTGAAAATAAATAATGATATAATTGAACAAGTAGTTTGTGTAAAATTCGTAGGTGTATTAATTGATCAAGAGTTGACATGGAAGAACCACGTATCAGCTCTGTTCTGAAAAACATAATTAAATCTACGGGTCTGGTTGCTAAACTAAGACATTTTAGGAACAAAAACACTTCAAAATTGATTTATTATGCATTGGTCTATCCATACCTCACGTACGGAAATCTAGTTTGGGGAAATACATACCCAACAAGGTTACAAAAGTTACTAAATGCGCAAAAGAAAATTGTTCGACTAATCTGTTGTAAATCTTATATGGATCATTCTGAACCAATATTTTTACAACTGAAAATCTTGGACATCTATAAAATTAATGATTATCTATGCAGCTTATTCATGTGTCACTTCAATTGTTGTCAAAATATGCCGGACTTTTATAATGATTACTTCAAACAAAAAAAACGAACTACTATAATACGCGAAATTCTACCAAGTTACATGTGAGCTATAAGAGAACAAACTATCGCAAATACACTGTATTTAACAAAGGAGTTTCTATCTGGAATTGCCTTAATGAAGAAATTGAAAATATTAAATCAAATTTTTCTTTTTTAAGAAAACTGCAAAATCCTATTACTTGATGTCTAGTTGATGTAAATATTTCAGGAATATTAATGACAGTGTTCTGTTACGTACTAAATATTCCTTAAACATTTTCCATATTTGTTTGTAAATAGTTTGTGCGTTTCATTGCAAATTGTCCTTATGTACATAATTGTCCCTATTTTTATATTACTGAACACTAAGACTATAGGGGCCTCGTCTTAAAAGTCCAACAGGATTTCCAGAGGTCTCTAGCCCGTTTATATACTATTCTTAAATTAATATTCAGACAACTTGTAAATAATATTTCTGGGTACATAAAACTAATAATAATAATAAAATATTATTAAATTCTTTCCAAAAATGTCAGCAGTTTAACTAATACAGTAAATAGTACAACATTTAATATACGACTTACGACATTCGGACGATACGCGCCTCTCAGCACGAAGGCCCTGGGGACGAGGTTGTATGAAATGCCATTTCGTGCATTTGGGGTGAGATTTACAAAATTCAGATGATTATAACGTCATAAAATACACAAAAAAGTACATTTTTGACTTTGAACTATTTAATTTTAAAGTGAGATTTTACAGGAATGAGAAGTTCGTGACATTATATACGATGCACGAAAAATAATACATTTTATGACTTTGAACTATGCAATTTTCCCAATGTCTTTTCCTAGAACTGTCTATCTATTTAAAATGGTAGCTTTCTGTTTTTATCTAAAAATCGAATCAATGTCCCCCCCCCCAGGTTCTCAACGGATTTAAACATTTCTCGAAGGTGGTTCTGAAGGAGAGTGGGGGGACTCGTCCCCCAGTCTCCCCTGGGCTACGCCACTGCTATCATTGCCTCGAGAAATGGGACAGGGGGCTCAAATTTTTGTATCTAAAACACTGCAATTGTCAGTTTGTCACAAACACTGTAATTCCCAATGACTGTAGGCCGATGCTCACCAATCTTTGTCATTAGAATCTTCCTTGAATGCAGTTTCCGTAATATGAAGCTCATCTACTGCGAGAAATATATGCAGGCGACTTTCGGTAACGATAGTATTACTACTATGCAAAACTTTGATGACCTAGTCAACGGCGCAAAGAGAGTCATGAAGCACGAGCCCTACACGATCAGAAATTGCGGCCACAAATTGAAAGCTATAGTTATACGATGAGCCCGTCTTAGTTGACATTCGTGGAATGCACATGCGGACATGTAGTGAACATTAATTGAGGAAAACTGGTAAACGTATATCATTTCAAGATATAGTCGGTAAAGATTCTTATTTAATTGTAGAATTTTGGAGAAGGTTAATTGTTGGTATATAAAACGAAAAGGGATAAATAAGTTGACCATAAAGTGAATCTTTCCTGAATGCATTATACTTGCTATACTTGGTTTGAGATATAGTAGTCATGCTCAAGTTGCGTATGCACATATTTTCCGTTGGAAAGCACGACATTGCGTACCAAAGTTATAACAAAATTTTATAATATAACATTTGTAAATTCTAAACGCTGATTGGCTAAGAGCCGTGTTGATATAACTCACTGTTAACACGAAAACGTCGGAAAATTTCTTTCTTTATGTTTCTTCAGAGTTTCTTTGTGCTATATCATAAAACAAATATAAAACTTTTTCCGTATTGATATGTTATATCAACACTCGTGGAAATTGGGAAACTCGAAATTGGGTGAAAACACTCCGCCCTTCGGGCGTCGTGTTTCCACACAATTTCTCGTTTTCCCAATTTCCACTCGTGTTGATATAATTGTATATCAACACGGAAAATGTTTTATATTTGTTAAATAATATCGAACGGTCTGTGCCAGTGGAAGGTAGCAATCATAACAACAGAAAGCTGTGGATTGAAAACGTCGAAGTTTTATTTTAAGTGTATTTTTCAGGTAGTCGCCAATCCCTCTTACGGCCCGTTTCCACTCAGGAAAACTTTCTGAAGAAAGAAAATTTTGTAAAATGTGATTGGCCGACACAAATTTTCCGTCGGAAAAAAATTATGAAGTTGAAAATTTTCAACTTTTAACAATGACTTTTTCGGAAAATTTTCTGTCCGTGGAAATTTTCCTTGAGTGGAAATGGGCCTTTAACCGCAGCATGCTAAGATATAACAAGGTTAGATGTAAGCTATTGACAAACAGTTAATTTAATGATCAGCAAGCTACTTTTGCCAACTTTCTTTATCAAAAGTCGTATCACTTTCGCTCTCTGCTTTTTTAATGGAGTTTGAAAATCTGCATGGTCTATGTCCTTTCATGCTTTGTATCATAAATCCCTTCAGCAATCGCTACTTTCTATTTTACCAAAATTGAGGAACATATACAAACACTTAACTGGCCCACACTGCTTTGTGCGAGGTTCTCAGAATGCTTACTGTGAGTAATAGGATTGCATTTGCAAGTGAATATTCAGAAAATTGAGAACTAATATTCCTTTACCTAACGTCAATCACTGATGCCTAAAATACATGCATTAATTTTCCCCAGAGGCATTGCTTGATGCATGGTATTGCTTGGCAGTATGTTGGCTTCTTTGGTCAGCTCAGGTATCCTTTCCAAAATGGATAGTTCTAAATGTAAAATGGGTACTTCTAAAACTTAAAATGGGCAGTTCTAACTTGAATTTTCAAGCTTAAAATTATAATTTGCTATAAATATAATTAAGTGCGCATACAGATATTAATTAAGGCAAAAACAAAATGTCACTCTGAAAACGTAGGAAATGGCAATTTTGGACTTCAAATATTCAATTCTGGACTTCTAAATGTCATCTCATCGGAGTACACCTAAAAGAGAATCTAAAATGGGACGCCCATGTGAAACATCTTGCCTCGACGTGCTATGGCACCCTAGCAAATCTCAGAAAAATTAAGAACTTTACAACTTTCACCCTGAGAAAGCATCTGGCTGAAAGCTTAATTATTTCTCGTTTAGACTTTAGTGACATAGTATTCTATCCGCTAACCGAACATCTACTCAATAGACTACAGCGAATACAGTACTCAGCTGCTAGTTTTGTGACTGGACGTTATGTAAATAGTATTGAATCGATTTTAAAATTGGGTTGGTTACCCATGCGAGAACGAAGGGACTGGCATATTCTTAAAGCCGCACATAAGGCGTTATATAGTAGCGACTGGCCTCTCTATGTTAGCCTTGAAAGGTCTGAACACACACGTGTTTTACGGTCTAATGCTCAAGTCAATTTAGTTATACCTTTAGTTTCTATACCTTTCAAGATTGATCAGCTTCATTATTTAATTCTCTACCAGCTGATGTAAAATCATGCACAGATCATAGAGACTTCTCCAGACAAACTTTTAATATTTTAAAGCAACGCTGTCTCACTATTTAATTGTAATGCTTAGGTCTAGGTTTGCAACTTTCTTACTATTTCCTTAGATATTGTAGTAGTAGTGTTATCAGGTGAAGAGCCATTGTATGGAAATACTGATAATAAATCATTATTATTATTATTATTATTATTATTATTATTATTATTATCTTCCGGGCGAGCATGCCCCAGTGCCCTCCTAGCTATTCAGGTCATGCATGAGCTCGTCTCTCGTTACTGTCACACAGTTAGCTTGTGTTCACTACCTTATACTCTGTTCTTGTCGAAATTGGCAGATCTAATTTATTCGTAGGATAACCCCTGGGTCAACCAGCTTAACCATAGTTTAATCGGTAGAATCATTTTACTAACTTTGAAAGTCTTTATTATTTAATGATTTTCAGACCTAAAAAGGAAGATCATGAGTTCAGAACGTCCCAATAAAGAAACTTTTAACTGATTTCGCAAACAATGAGCTAATCCGGAAGCGACTTGAACTTGTTACTCGACCATCTGATGTTATTATTGTGGGTGAAAAACGATGTGGAACAACCTGGATGCAACAGATCTTACATCAACTGCGAACAGGAGGTGACACGGAATAGCTAGCAATGAAATATTCCCAGATAATTATAATATATTTAGGAAAGATAGAACTACCGACCGCCACGGGGGCGTTTTTCAGGCCGTAAAGAAAGATATCTTAGTTACTGATCGCTCGGAGTTTGATACAGATTGTGAAATCGTATGGACACAATGTCAAATTAAAAGCCGGAAATCAAAGTCTATTTTCTTTGCTTCATATTATCGGCCGAATATGACAGATATGGTTAGCCTTGATGAACTGAATAATTCGCTTTTCAAACTATCCGATAAACTGAACAATCACCATGTGATATTGGCTGGAGATTTCAATGCACCTAATATCGATTGGAAAGATTATGCTCCAGTAAAGGCTTCTGTTCATTCTGATAGATTGCTCGAAATTATAAACGAACATGGACTTAACCAAATGGTTAAAGAGCCAACAAGGAGTCAGGGAGAAACACACAATATACTAGACATGATCTTTACGAATAACGAAAACATTATCAACAACGTCAAAGTACTCCCGGGAATTAGCGACCATGATATTGTTTATTTCCAGGTTAATTTAAACTGTAAAAAGAAAAGGCATGTGAAGCGAAAAATATTCATCCGGAAGCGGGCAGACAAAGAGCTAATACAGCAAAAGCTACGTGAGTTGGCTAATAACTTTGAGTGTTCAGTGAAGCAGGAGTCCCTTGATACTAAGTGGGATGCGTTTCAACAAGGTATTCAAAACATAATGAATTCTTGCATACCATGCAAATACACATCATCTCGTTATAATCTGCCCTGGTTTAATCGTGCACTTAGGAGACAAACCCGAATCAAACAAAAGTTATATAACAAAGCTAAAAAGTCGGGAAAAGAAATTGCCTGGTCTAAGTTTAAGACGGCTAAGAAACAACTGAGTAAGAACCTGAAAAGAGCTAGGGATACATATTTGTCTGGTTATTTAACTGATACTATGCAAGAAAATCCTAAGGCCTTTTGGTCCTATATTAAGAGATTACGACAAGACAACCCGGGCGTTGAAGATTTTAAAATGGATAATGAACTCATTAGCGATGCCGGTTTAAAGTCTGAGGTACTTAGTAAACAATTTGCTAGTGTTTTCACGACAGAAAATGTCGAGAATATACCAACTCCAGGAAGTAACTTCACGCCTGCCATTGGTAATATTGTGATCACGGTGAAAGGAGTCGAGAAACAACTAGCATCCTTAGATGCAAAGAAAGCAAGTGGACCGGATGGAATTCCACCATGGTTTCTAAAAGAAAATGCAAGTCAAATAGCACCGATTCTGACAGATATCTACCAGGAATCAGTTAGTAGCGGTAGCTTACCTGGCAAATGGAAAGAAGCCAATGTATGTGCGGTATTTAAAAAAGGGAAAAAGTGTGACCCGGGAAACTATCGGCCGATATCTTTAACCTGCATCGCTAGTAAGGTTTTAGAACACATTGTGCATAGCCACTTAATGAAGCATCTCGAAAGGCATAGCATTCTCATTGATAATCAGCACGGCTTCCGGGCTAAACGATCCACAGAAACTCAACTGATATGCACTACTCATGATATTACTAATGCTATTCAACAAAACAAACAAGTAAATTTGGCTATTTTAGACTTCTCAAAAGCTTTTGATAAAGTCCCTCATTAGAGATTATTGACGAAGTTGGAATACTATGGGATCCGGGGTCCACTCCAAGAATGGTTTAAGTCGTTTCTTATAGATCGAAGTCAAGTTGTGGTATGTGATGGCGCGACATCAACTCCTATTACAGTTACTTCTGGCGTACCGCAGGGCACAGTTCTTGGTCCTGTTTTGTTTCTACTGTATATAAACGACTTGGCTGAAGAATTGAAATCTACTGTAAGACTGTTTGCCGATGATGCCCTGCTGTACTGTTTTATTGAAAGTGATGTAGATGCAGATTCTCTCCAGGCTGATTTGTGTAAATTAGAGGAGTGGCAAGACCGCTGGCAAATGGAGTTTAATTCGACCAAGTGTAAAGTGATGTGCATTACAAATAAAAAGAATATCATAAAGAAACAGTATATGTTCTGTGGCCAAATACTGGAAGAAGTCGAAAACCATCCATATCTCGGGGTGATGTTTGATAATAAAATGAAATGGTCATCTCATATATCTAACACCACTCGGAAGGCAAATGTCATATTACATGTTATCAAGCGGAACCTATGGAATTGTCCAAGAGATGTCAAGGAAGTTGCTTATAAAAGTCTTGTAAGACCAACGCTTGAATATGCGTCTACAGCATGGGACCCTTACTATAAGAAAGATGTTGCTGCTGTTGAAAGAGTTCAGAGATCAGCGGCACGATTCTGTTTAAAAAATTACGATCGGACAGCTAGTGTATCAGCCATGACGAAAGAGCTGGATTGGGATACATTGGAAACAAGAAGGAAACGTACGCGCCTATGTATGATGTACAAGTTAAGTCGTGGTCTACTTAACTTGAACGCGGAAAACGTGCTGGTTCCAAGTCAAGAAACAAGAACACGAAATAGTCATACGTTTAAATATAGAGTACCTCGAGCTACGAAGGACATTTTTAAATATTCTTTCTATCCTAGAACGCTAACTGAGTGGAACAGTCTTCCTAAGGAATTAGTTTTATCAGAAACTCTAGATACTTTTAAGAGTGAACTCAAGAATTTTATTAAGTAATATTTTATTATTGATTGGTTGAGATAGTTGTAGTTAGGTTTTTTGAATTTGTATTATGTATTGTTATAGTTGGTGCGATAATCGTCCGATTTTTACCGACTTAATAAAATGTAGATGTAGATGTAGATGTAGACATGGATTATGAGAAAATTTATGATGTAGTGCCATGGATAGAGTCACCTTTCGAAAATCATCATGACATTGATAAGAATCAGAAAGCTGAACCCAGGTACTTTTATTCACTTTTGTTGTTAAATGAGGGAGGAAAATGGAGTAGGGTAAATATTGATTTTTTTTCAAGGAAAAATCTCGGTAATTTTACTTTTAACAGCGAAACAATATTCTACTCCACGTCATTTACGATTCTTTCACTAGTACCGTCTATATATGTATTGCAGTTCCCTTCTGTAGTAACACTGGATCAATAATTGGATGACCGTTTAAACGTGGAAATTGAAGAATTTAGTGACTTTAAAGAGAATACTAACTTACGGCAAAATAATACGGTCAGAGCACGGCCGAAATATAATTTTCACGGGTTAAATCAATTGTAGTTTACGAACTTCATTTGCGTGATTTCGATAATTTTAAATATATATTTTATACAGTAATCTTTATAGTGAGTAGGATTGTACGACAACTCCCTGCAAGACTGTGCTCCGTGCAAAATTCCTGTCTGTTATTTTCATGATGCCGCAACCTTACCAAATGAAAAAAAACCCCACCAAACGCCACATCCTTAACAAATAGCACAACCTTACCAAATACCGAATTCCTATCATGCAATCCTACCCAAACTCGCAACCTTGTCAAATCCTGATACCCTGTAGTTACGGCTATTCTGTGTTCCCAATACTAGGATAGAACAAGAACACTGTGTTAACTATTCACGGGTATTGTTGTTATAAATGCAAATACGAAAGATAGACAAAGATTTGGTTATTAGCTTCTCTTTTAAGATTTGATGGATAATCTGAACTTTTAGCAGTATTGTTAAATATACTTGGTTTAAATCTGTTACATAATAATAAAAGAAGGTCTGACAGTGGGAAAATCTGATCAATCCAACCATTGTTCTGGAGTAAAGGAGCAAATGTCACGAACTGTAAATAGAATTAAGTAGTTAGAAAACTGATTTATAACCATAGGTCCTTTGAGATCGTAGAAAAGTCAAGAACGTCATTTATATCTCATTTGTGTCGGTTTTCTTTGATCGTCCGAGGTTTATAACTAGCTAATATACATTGAATAAATAATTACATCAAACTTTTCGACAAAACGCGAGAATTTTTCATCAAAAATTTTTCAAAATGACAAAATATGTTAGAAAACCTCCACAAATGAGATATAAGTTAGTTATAAACCTCGAAAGTCGGTATATAACTGATATATTGCCCTCGGACGCTGCGCGTCCTCGTGGGCAATATATCAGTTATAAACTTCCTTCTCGGTTTCATCGCTAGAAATCTCGGACATTTGAATCCCGAAACATCCCTTACGTCTATGTCCCTTATTACCTCTTTCGATCCCCGAAATTTATTATTCTAAATATAACTAAAAGCATTATTAAAAGGATTACAAAAAGGATTATTACAAAATGTAATCATACTAAAAGGATTACAAAATGTAAACAACCAAAAAACAGAAGAAAAGAAGGCCTACTCTGGGACCTAAAGTCGCCGTAATTTTGGGCGACTTCAAGCGACTTAAGGCGACTTTAGGAAAATGGCACGAAATCGAGTGGCAATTTTGGGCGATTTTAGGCGACTTTGGGTGATTTTAGGCGACTTTAGGCAAATTCGAGGACATGTCTTATTGGCATTGGTTGAGTTTAGTCTGCTCAAAAGAAATCTCATTAGACTCTGACCAGTTCACTGAAAAAATTATCTTAAAGGGGGAACATAGTTGCGGGAAACACTGAGTATTTTCATAAAATACAATACAACGGTAACTCCAAATAAAGTAAGCATTTTTATTCAACGTTTCGACTTTATTTAGTCATCATCAGGAATGATTATATTACATATGCAAGCGTTATATATACTCTATTTAATTTGATAGTATTAAAAGAAAACCGATTGTTCTCTTGAAGTTCTTGATGCTTTAGTGCCATGATTAAGTTCTGGTTTTTGTCTGTGAATGGCGAGTTCTTTGAACAGCAGATAGGGCTAAGCACTGGTCAAATCTGCTGTTCAAAGAAGCATTCCCCATTCATAGACAAAAACCGGAACTTAATCATGGCACTAAAGCATCAAGAGAACTATTAGTTTTCTTTTATTACTATCAAATTACATAGAGTATATATAACGCCTGCATATGTAATATAATCATTCCTGATGATGACTAATTAAAGTCGAAACGACGAATAATTAAAAATGCTTACTTTATTCAGAGTTACTGTTGTATTGTATTCTGGGGCACATAGATGATTTAGATTTTAATAATTAACAGTATACAATTAGTACAATTCAAATCGTATAGTACTAACTATTAGTGACATTAATAGTGATCAGTTTAATTTTCAAGATCAAAGTGTCAGTTAAATCAAAGTGCTCAGTTTAACAGCATTTTAATTAACCTTCAAAAAACAGTAAAGAAACAAATAAATTTTTAATATGAACGATATTCCTAAACTAAAGGCAATACTCGTGAATTTTACAAATTATATTTACCTATTTCTTAATGATTCTATTTGCACACCCTTGTCTTTGGTCTGATCTTTTAATACTGTAATGGGTATACATTTCAGCCATTTCAACCTGCCTAATAACATTTGTTGCTGGAGAAGGCCAATTTTGCACTCAAGTATTTTATTTGCAATCCATTCGAACAATTTTGGCTCGATCCATAGATATTTTCTGTATTTCTTTCATGGTTGTATAAATATTCGAAAACAAAATGTATTAATGTAATCTAGATCTAACAACCGTGATCTAACTGATCTTCAACGGCAACTGGATTGCAAAATTAGGTTAGGTTTACATGAAATACCTCGTATAACAACGCATGCCAAATACCGCGGTTTCGTTATCGATCGACTTTAAGTTATGCGACATAAAGTATTAAATGTTTCAATATGGCGGCCGAACCCAAGCTGCCGAACACATTCTGCAACAGTGTCTGCAACAGGTTCTACATTTAGTCACTAGTATCAAACATACTAAACACTGGAATAGATTTAATCAAGCTTGTTGTTGTGGCATTCACATCAAAGTTGAAAATCGCGCGATGCTGGGACAGTTCGATGTACAGCAGTAAGTGTAATTTTAAAATACTGCAGCTTCACAGTTCAAACTGTTGACCGATATAATAATTTGTATATTAAATAATGCATCGATCAATTCTTGCGGTAACCCCCCCCCCCGGGCAATATCCCCAGGATTTGTAATTTTTTTGCAAGAATGTAGTAAATTCCCCACCTCCGGGACTTTAAAACTTGACAATTCCCCACCCTGGGGCAGCGCTAAAAAACTAAAAACAAGATATCACTAAGCAGTTTATAACACACATTTTTAATATCCTTCATATAAACATATTTAAAATTTGAAAAGTGCGTTTATATATACTGATTAAATACTTGGTATTATAAACTATAGTCACTATAACACGATTATATAAACAACTGCTAAACACGAAGTAGTCGCCATTTTGAAAACTTTTGGACGTGCACTGTACACATGTCACTATATACATGTCACTGTACATAAACTATATACATGTCACTGGATGGGCTAGCCGCTAGATACGTGGTCAAAACATGGTCCTGGATGCGAGTTTTGCTTTTTACCACGGGGAAACCCCGGGACAAAATTTTCTAACAATTACCCCCCCAATTCCCCTCATTAACAATCCCCCCCCCCAATTCCCCCCTTCCCCAATCCCCCCCATTTTCTAACAATTCCCCCCCGCCCGGTGGGGAGGGGGAATGGTAACAACAAGAATTGACCATGCATAATTACTGTGCATTACCGGAGATCTGGATAAAGAGCTGTAATTAAGTTTATATATGTTGATCTTTAACAAATTCAAATTTGACAATAATTTTAAAATGCTAACGTCTTTGGCTTTGCCTTTGATTGAAAGATTTGCAGTTGTAAGAAATGGCAATAGACAATATATTTGCTTGTGGAAACACCATCTACAGTATACAATTTTATTATTGTATATTAAGTTTTAGGGTGCATGATTTCGCACACATATATCTACTGTAGATTTCAGGTAATTGCATTGGCAACAACTGACTGAAATGCCCATTTGAAAATGTGCTTTTTTACTTGAATCGCATTTCATTAATCCTTGTGTAATAATGAGCTTAAAATGCCTATCAATTACTTGCAGCAGTGCAAGTTACAATTTTAAAGTTAGAAATATATTTTTAAAGTGAAAACACTGTTAAAATTATGCATGTTCATGAACTGATTTTGGGCGATTTTGTGTGACTTTAAGCGACTTAAGGCGATTTTAGGCGACTTTAAGCGATTTTAGGCGACTTTAGGTCCCAGAGTAGACCTAAAAGAGCTTTCGAATGATATATTTTGGGTCATTTTTGCCTAAAAAATCATCGCCAAACCGTGACATTAGAACCTGATGATCGTGTCTAATAAACGAACCTTCGAATTTATGCAAACTTGGAATGAAGCAAATACACATTGACACCACAGATTAAGATATGCGAACAATTGTTTCGGATACTAATATCTGCATATTATTCAAATATAACTGCACATTTTTAAGTTCATCGATCATTAAGCCGTAATTTGACTTTGTAAAATGTGGATTATTGTCGTTTTGATAAATTAGTTAGAAATCCTGCCGCACATTTAATTGCGTTGTTGCCCAGTTTTAAGTATCGTAAATAATCATTATATTTTATTATTGGTTTTAGTTTTCTTTCTTATTTCCTTGATTAGTTTACGGAATTTTGTTTCCACAATGCACAATTTTAATTTAGTATGATTCTTAAAAGATATTTTATGTTAAAAGTGGATAACCATCTACATTCCTGATAAAATTTGAAAATAAGAGTTAACATGGGGACTGGGGCGAGAATGCATGCTGTATTCCGAATGTCCGCGATTTCTAGCGATGATAACTCTAACTTATTTGAAGAGGGGGAGAGTGTAAGCCGAGTAATTCTATATCACATTAAGTACTATGGAAACGGTCAGTATAACCCCGAGCTCGAAAATGTACTTGTAATAAAAAACAAAACAAATCAGGGAATATTGTATTCGACAAAGGTTTGTCTTGTTAAAAGGTTGACAATAGAAAGGCTGGTTAAAACCAGAATTGCTTGATCGTATCTTACAAATCAAGTTGGAATAAAGAACCTGCGTCACAACTGCATAACGACAGCGAAATAAGATAAAATTCTTACCCCCTTGCTTGGTCATAAAGAGTGTCAGTAATAACTGCAACATGTGCAATCCAATCAAAGTTCCTATTAGCACAGAGCTGCCGATTCCTTTTATAATTTCGAAACAATTTAACAAGAAATATAATGTGCGATATCGTCATAATTCCATCCGGCAAAGTAAGATAATTAAAATCCCTACTAAACACTTGCCGGGTTCCTAACATACGTTTCTTCCATCCCTAATGCTCTCTAATGTTATGTCACGCTCAAAACTGACGAATTACGAGAAGTTCTCCATAATAGTGATAGATTGTATTACCGAGACATGGCTCATGGATCATATCGATGCTAACGTTGTTAACATGTCAGGATTCAGGTTAGTTTGCCCTGACAGAATTAACAGTCAACACAGTGGAGTCTGTATGTGCTGTACGTATAAGGAATAATATTCAATGCAACATTGTACAAGACCTTCTAGACTGTTATTCTGAAATCGTCTGGATTCATTCTCGACCGACTCACTTTTCAAGGAGGTGGGAATTTTCTTGACAGGAACGTTATACCATCCTCAAAGTGATAACAATCAAGAGTACATACAAACATCAAAACACACATAAAAATATCAGATATTTGATCATTTGTTAAGATGTCTATCAACAAACTTTCGTGCCCAACTTAAACAAATTAAACGTCTCTAGACTGAAACGTAGCATACGTAGCATTAGGCTCAAGCAATTTGTGAACATTCCCACACGTGAACTGGCCTGAACACCTTGGACGTCAACTTTACTAATTTGAAAGATTATTATGCTTCCCCTACTAAGCTCTCTCCCTTTTGTCTTAACGATCACGTAATGGTTAAAATTTTACCACTCTCCTGAACAACAGCTAGCATCCTAACTAAAACAAGTATTAAAAAAGGGGACATTATTTTAGAACATACTTGGAAGCTGTTGATAGTCAAACCTAAAAATCGTTAGCACAGGCGTTAATTCTCTCTTCCAATATTTAAATAAAGTTGAAAGCAATGTTATTTTCATGCGAGAATTTGAAATAATTTTCTTCCAAACTTAAAGTTTGTTGCATTGTGTTCCCATTGATCACACTGTCTACCCATGTCCCTAGATAACCCATTAATTTGCCTTGAGCTTAATGCACCCTAGTATTCTCATACTGTGTCTTAACCAGACAATTATGGGAAGGGAAAGCGGTGATGCTCAATGGGTGACTGGTATCGAAAAATATTTTCAATACTCTTGAAACTGTTTGCTTTGTCAGATTATCTCTAAACAATCATAGCAAAGTCCCGATTTGTCTTCCACTACCGTTTGGGACCGGTCATAAAGTATGTCTACCGGGGGGGGGGGGGACGGGGGG